TCTTCACGTAAATCAAGTTCAGGATCATATATAAATGTTGATTGTTGTAGTTCATTTTGTTTAATATCTTTTTCATTTGAATTTTTTTTAAAAAAATTCATTAAATTTATTTTAAATTTTTCTATTATATTTGAATGATTTTCTTGTATTGAACTATATGAATTATTTCTTGTATTAATATAATAATGTAATGTATTTGTTGATGAACTATATTTTTTATTTTCTAATGTATTTGTTCTTGAAAATAATGTATCTTGTGTTGGACATGATGCATTACGTGTAAATTGATTAGTTGATAATGTTAAAGATGGCATTATTAAATCTAAAAAATTTCATATACATATATAGATATATACATGTTATTTTATTTTGTACTTAATAGATAACAAAAGAGATTATAGTTGTTGATAAATATAAAAAAGTACCTGAAGAGGTTATCTCTATCTGTATAAATGTCACCGAAAAGGATGTTGAGTTGTATGATAGTGGAGTGTCGTCGTCGCCGTCTCACACTCGCTCTGAACTAGAAATGCATTGTAGGGAAGCCGTTACTCTTTTTCTCTCTTTTTTTTTTCTATTCTCTCTCATTCTCTCTCTTTCTCTGACTGTGTATAGTGGTTATATATATTTCTCTTTTTCTCTCGTCGTCTATATTGCTGTTTAACACAGCTGATTTTCGATGAAACCAAAGAAGTACAAACCATATAAATATATCCAGCCGGTTCGTTCTTTTTCTTCTGTTCATTTTCTATGCAAAGAGAAAAACAGCTGCTTGTAATGTCTAATGATTGGTTGTATTTTGACAACTTCATCTGATGAAGAAAAAGAAAAAGAGAAGAACAAAAAGAAAAAAAAAAATCTCTCATTTTTTTTCCTTCATTCTTTACTTTGCGTCTCTCGTTCAATGCTTGAGGGTGGTATATGCTGTTCACGATAATGATGTGAATTCGGCATAAAAGATTTCTCGATTGTGTGTATGTATGTTACATCGGATGAACGAAAGCCCACGGCTATCGATCACACATGTGTTGTGAAGTGTTCATCATTAAAGAAAAAAACACAACAAAATGCAAAAAAAAGCTTCTATTTTTTTTTCTCTTCTTATTCTCTTTATTCGATATTTGTTTCAATTGAGACAAAAAAAAAAACTCATTATCACTCTCTCCATACAAATGACAGACGACGAGAACAATTGCAGCTGATATTAAACATATTTTTTGACATAGAACTAATTGATCTTCTCAGCTGGTTATTGTAATATAAAAATAAAACCATTAATAGACTGTCGAATCAATTTATAAACATTACTATGTGCAAATGACGACAAGCATTCTTATTGTTGTTGTTTTTTTTTTCGTCATTGATCTGATTTCTTTTTCGTATCTGAAATGAATTCTTTCAGTAAGGGTATGTGCTGATATGCTATTCAATTACTCATAGTATTTCTTATCAAATTCATCATGTCTGTTTACTAATGATTTCGTTTGAAAATAGACATATATATTTGTAGGCAACAAACCGAACACCTGTCATTATTATACAGGTTAATTACTGATTGACAGAGGGAGAAGAAAAAAAAATTGTTTTTTTCTACACGGTTAGAATAGTAGCTTTCATCAATATAGGTACGATAATAATAAAAAAGTAGAGTGTTGACAGACTTATCTTTACAGTTTTTTTTTTTTTTGCAAATATGCACGAAGAAATAATATTAATGATTTAGGTATACACATGGAAATGAGACGTTTTTTCTCTATTCTTTTCTTTGCTTGATTAATTTTCGATTGAAGAATAGTTAATCAAATATAGATCATGTTGACATGAAAGAAAAAGTATAAGGTGAATATTTTATTTGGTTTATTTTATTTTATTTTTTTTAGGTTGTATTGAATATATGTATGAAAGAACACGTCACCTATTCAATATTATGACAACGAGAAAGAAAAAGATCCTATAAGCCCACTGATGTTGTTGTTGTTGTTATTATTATTAAGAGTTTTGCAATCGATTGATATTTACTAACATTCTTTTTCTATTGCATATGTTCTCATCAGTTGATCAGCAATCGTTAATCCACTCTTTCTCAACTACGATATGTATATATGTCAATAGTTCAATAATTCCATTTCTCTTCATGACTCCAGCTGTCAACTAAAAAACAAATAACTATTTGAATTCACTTGTGGATTTAATGCACCATCAATCACCTTCGAGTTCGATTCAGATATCAATGGAAATGCAATAATTTTAATACCATCTATAAATATATAAAAGTCTGTTGAGACAGACGTTTTTTTTTTTTTCTTCTAATGATTAAATCTTATCAAAAACCAAATGACGCTTACTTAAATTATATTGATATATGCAAAGAAATCGGTATACTATACAATGACCCGATCATGAGCATAAAAGAGAACGAATTAATTCATATTTGCATATTTGACACCATCATCAAACGTACACACACACACACAGATTGGTACTCAAGAAGGGAGTGGTCCTTTTGTCGGAATATCGTCTATATACTTTTTGTCGGTCACAGTATGACACTAAAAGAAAAAAAAAAACGAGAGCTCAATTAAATGACAAATATATATAAATCAAATAATTTTTATATCGATCCAAAAAATATTAAATGAAATAGAATCTTCGTTTTGGTTCATTTCATTCTACGGATGTATTAATCAAGAATGCATGATAGTCAATCTACCGGAAGAATATATCAATGTAATTCTAGATCTATATTTTTCATTCATTTGACACATTCAGGAAATACGGTTCACATTTATAAAAAAAAGAAAGAAGATCTGTTAACATGAAATATATTCATTTTCTTGTGATATGTATAATGTTCGTGCTTAAAGTTTTCTTTTTCTTTTTTTTGTGTTTTGATCTTGATTTACTCAACAAATGAAATAGTTCAAAGCATGCGAATGTATATTATAATAGTTTATATAAAGAAAAAACAAAAGCATCAAATGATATTTTGTTGATTTACTTGAAAGAAAAAAAAATTAATGTTGATTAGTTTCCTTTTTTTGCTTCTTCTTCTTCTTTTGTTGACATCGTACGGACAAAAAAAGAAAGAAAAGAAAAGACAGATGGAGTTTTATAAGAGATATCAACTCAATACTTCACATCTGCTTCATTGACAAATAAAAATTTATGTATGTGTCGAACAAATGTCATCGATTATAATCTTTCGTATTTTTTTTTTTTTTTTAATATATATATATATGATAATATCAAACGTTATATTGTAATGTTTCTTAACAGTTCAACTAAATGAATGTCAATAGATTATATGTTATCTAATTTCAATATCTTATGTAGAACAATTAGAAGGCGATTAGTGAGTGATGATAATGTATATAAATTTTGACAAACAATATCTAATATCAACTTGAATTTTAGCACTTTCAAATGCACTTTTCTTTTACGTTAATTTTGCTTTTATTTTAAGATATTCTATACAATCTTAAGATTACTTTTTAATGGATACTATAAAAAGAAAAAATATTAAAATAAGTATTCATAAATGATTCTTTGATGATAGTAATGCGTTGACAGGTCAAATGGTTTGTTCTATTTTATTCTTTGAATGATTAATTTTAGCAAATTTTTTTTCTTTTTTATTCAATCGAATATTGAAAGACATGAATTGGTTATTCAGAAAGTATTAAATCAGTATTTGCAATACATTAAATCTAAATAGTATTTATTTATCAATAATAAAGCGTTATTAAGCAAAAAAGAAAAAAAAAAGAAACAAAACTTGGCTTCTTAGAAAATCGTCGTTCCATTATATTAATTTTCTAATAGAAAATAATGGATGATCTCGTATCAAGAGAAGAGGCTTATCTTTTTTGAAAAAAAAAATAAAAAATTACTCTTAATTAAGAATTAAAGGTGAGCATAGATTAGTGCTTTCAATAGGATAGACATGAGTCTTATATTCCTTTTCTATTCTTCAAAAAATATATATGTCAAATTGTCAGTCATATTTTAGTCGATTTAGTTTTATTTGCTTTCAAATCGAATGAATATCTTCTTAAATGATAATGTATTCATAAATAATGAAAAGAAGATGTATTTGTTGTTTGTGTAAAATTAGTTACATTTCAAAGATTGATATTTGTAAAAAAAAAAAAAAAAGAAAAAGAAAGAAAAGAATTGATTGAGCTATGTTATTTAAGTATTGAACTTATAAAAACTAATTAGTAAATTCATTAGTTGTACATATCAAATAATTTCTAAATTGAAATATGAATAAATCTAGTGGAATAATTTCTATATTAAATTTATAATTATAACTGTCATTCTATAATTTTATTCGACTTTTATTTCCATGTAGAATATTGAAGGTGTCTTATTCGGTTTGATTGTATAGATTAACCTGATGGTTATAATCAACGATTACATTATTCATTATTGTGATGCTTAATTTAACTCACTTCTATGCAAATAAGATTGAAGAAATGGTGTTGATTCATCGTGCCTTGTAGGACGAAATGACACTGTCATCTTGCTCTGTACTCATTTCTGTTAATAATGATATGATAATAAGAGCATCGTTTATTGTTTTAGAATCGGAAGACAAATTTTCAGTAATAACATATAAGAGAACTACTTCGAATGTCTTTCTTCCAATTTCAATATTTTTTTTTGCCTCGAGATACTATTTATATTCTAACGAAGATTCAAAGAGAATTTGAGTTCCTGTTGAGACTTGGAGATGCTATTAAATTTATAATATATCTATTTTCAAAAGATCTTTATACAAGTGCACGAATGTTTTCTTGAAACTATTTCTATTTGAAGATCTTACATACAGTAGCTTGTATGAAAATTTTCAGAACTCAAAGATTTTCATATTTCTGAACTGTAAACTTTACAAAAATCAAAACACTTTTTTTTTGAAGATTGGTAAATAATCTTTTGAACTGTTCGTAGCTCAGCAATATGAAGTCTTTAAACTATGACATTCTTCATACATACGATTGTATATGAGGCCTTCAAATGAAGGCAGTTTCAAGACAGAACTATAGAAGCGTCTAGCATATAGACATATAAAAAAATTCAATAGATTCGCTCAATTTCAATAGGAATTCAAATTATTCTAGAAATTTCCCTAGAATATAATGTAGTATTTATAGACAAAAAAAAGAACAATTAGTAACATCGGAAAGAAGAGTCTGGAAAGTTTTGCTCGTTAGTCTTTATTTAAAATAAATCATGCCATTATAAAAAAGATGAATGATGTTCTGATAATTTATATCAAAAGTATTTTATTAATTCACCTTTTTGTAAACGAGAACTTATCTTAATATTAAAACTTCTATATATTATATAGTATCCATAGGTATTTAAATGAATATTTTTAACATGCATATCCTCTACTCACTTAAAATACCTTCAATTTTATACGTTCCTTGAATCACAAGACAAGCTTAATTATTCATGATATATCATTAATGATTACCATTAACTATCTTCTAGAAACTTTCATTATAATAACTGAATAGATATGATCAAAAAGAATCACTCATTATTTTTTTTTTGTACATTATCTAAAACAAATATTTATCAATATAACTTATAAGACTAATTCAATAATAACATCCCATATCAATCCATTAATTTATTTACGCACAACAGCCATAGTGAAAACCGGTCAACATCGAAAAACAAGGAAGAAAAAAGAAACCGAACAAAACAAATACAAAGTGTTCACTATATATATATATGCCAGTTCGCACGCACACACACACACACACAAGGACAATATAATTTTATGTTTGAATAATATTTTAAAAAATAAATATGTACTGAGTAAAAGACGACTGACTAGGCCGTGGTCGATATAGTATTAAAATAGTTTGTTTTTAAATTATCAACTTTATTTGATGATGAACTTGTTGAATTTGATCTTTGTAAATTTTCAAAAAGAGATATTGATGATGTTGATGAATATTGTTGATTATTTACAATTGATGATGATGGTGATGATGGTGATGATGATGATGATAATGATGATGTATTAAGTAAAATTTCAATTTGTTTTTGAAGAAATGCAATATTTTCTTCAAAATCTTTTGCATCAATTAATAATGCTGATTTCATTCGTATAAAATGATCATAGTCATCAATTTGTTCATCTGATAAATATTTTCGAAGAATATTTGTTACTAAACGACTACGTCGATCAATACCATCTTTTAATGATTTTGCTTCATTATGTTTTTCTTGTATTTTTTCACGTCGTTCAAGCAGATTTGCCTGAAAAAGAAAATATTCAATCGTTGTTAGATTGCTTCGAAAGTTTTACTTGCAAAAAGAAAACAAGATTTTTTTTTAGAGATCTTGAAGGATGAAGACATTTTCACTTCTTATAAGAAAACGTGAGAGCCATTACCTTAAATTTTATTCACTTCTCAAGAAATCTGGCATTAAGAGTCTGCAAGATCGATGCTCTTTTTTTTTTCTTTCTTTCCTACCTTTGCTGAACAACAATATAGCCATGTCTCAATATATGTTAAACAGTTCTTTTAGAAATATGAGAACATCGAATGATAATTTCAATCTTATGTTCTTATACAAATGTCTTATTAAAATTTTTATGTAAGATTAAAAGTAAGCAAAAGAAATAGATATTTTATAAAAATTTACTTTTGTATGAGCATTATCATCATCTGTAATTATCAGTAAATCATTTTCGACTTTAGCCAATCGGCTACTAAGTTTGAGAAGAATTGATGTAATTGTATCGATTTCACTGATATGTAATTTAACTTTTTCAATTTCATTTAATTCAGCTTTTGATTCAATTATATTAATTAACTATAAAAAAAAAAAATAATAATTTAGAAATTAATATAATCTTTTTTTGTCTTTGTTTGATTTCATACTTTTGTACCAAGTATTGTATTCATTTCAATTTCATCTTTGATAATGCTTTGATTTTCTTGTAATGTTGCTAAAGTTCTTTTTAAATTTAATAATAAATCTTCCTAGAAAAAAAGAAAAAAAAAAAATTTTATTTTAAATTATTTCCTTTATGTTTTTGTGAACCGTTTGTCGAATATTATCATTTGAGTTTGTTCGTATATCGTTCATATTATTGGTTTCGAAATTTTGTATTAAACGCTTACGTTTAGGATGATCAGGTATTGGAAATAAATTTCTTATATAATCTGAACTACGATGCTGTTGATTATTCATTATTGATTCATTTGAATATGGTAAAGTTAATGGTTTTAAATCATTATCTGAATTCATTTTTGTAGATAAAGATACTTTTAAATCATTTATTGATGGTGATTGTGCCGAACGTTGTACAGCTTTAACAATTCGAACTGGTTTTCGAATAATTGTTGGTGGAAGCGTTGTTTGAGTTGAAAATGTATCAAAATATTTTGTTGTTCTTATCATTGAGTCAGGAGGTGATTGTTGTCTAGATGACAAAATCATTTTTTTTTTTCAAAGTATGTTTAAAATAGAAAGAAAAGAATGATAAACAAGAGATAACATATTCCGTATGCATCATTTCTTTTAGTCATGTCGAACTCAAGTGTTGCAAGTGATCCTCTCTATTATGATGTCAGTCCAAAATACGTGCGTTATACACGTTTATTTTTTATTTTTTCTGGTCTAATATGTGTAACATCAATCATATGTGCAGTTATAAAAGCTCATGACGAAAAAAAATTTTATATTATTATAATTAGTTTAGTTACATCGATATTTTTTGTTCTATGTATTTATTTATTTTTTCAACGACGAATTCTTTTAGCTGAAAAACTTTGGTTTGTTAATTTAACAATATTTATTTTATTTTTACAAGCATTAGTTTATTTAATATTTGTTTTTGTTAAACCATATCCTACTCCTATTGTAACAACAATAACAACAACACCTTTTTCAACAACACCATTTAATACAACTAATATGACTAATATAACAACAACAACAACAACAACAACTACACGAAAATTATCAAAGATGTATTCATGGGATAAACAAATATTTTTAAATAAATTATATGAACATATTGAAGATAATTGAAATATTCACATTTCTTTTTTTTGTTATTTATTAACTTTGATTTTATTAATCGTACTTATTTAATTAAATTCTTCACAAACAATATTAAATGAAATTTAAAAATAGTTTGAAATACAATATGTATAATAAACATTGATTTTCTTATCTCAATCTTTGATTAATCTAGATTTGATTTTTACGAACATTTACTCTTTAGTATATTTCGACAAAAAAAGAAAAAGAAACAACTATGTTCCTAGCGGGAATACCTCTCGAAGTGAGGTACAACTCTCTATTTCGAATTTAGATTCAAAAGTTACACTGCACTAGATGGAAATTTTTAGATCAACATCATACTTCTAATGAGAACAGTGTAACAAAATCACAGATAATTATACAGTGAAAATACAATTATTAAAGGCTACAATACTGATAGTGCATTGGTCTAATCATATACGTATGGACTAACGGTGCAGAATAGTTGAATTTTTATAAAAGTAGAAAGTTTTTGGAGTACAGCAGTCTGAATCTATATAGAAGAGTTGTCAAGTTTAATCAAGGGGCAAGAAACTGATTTCAAATGCGGAAATCAACTTGAAATCATTGGAAAATCACCTGCAATTTGACCAAGTCACCAAAGAAGAAAAAATTGATTTCAAATGATTTCGTGGATTTCTGGTGATTTCAAGCAATTTCAAATGATTTCAGGTGATTTCAGGAATGTACGGAGGTCAAAACTTTCAGCCTCAGTCCCGGTGAGTCTCCCTACCGGTCACTGCCAGCCTGGTACAACGCTAAGTAATGTCATATGATTCCGCATGACTTTTAGTCCATTTCAAGCGATTTCGAATGATTTTAACCTGCCTTGAAATTGATTTCAATTAATTTCGATTTCGCTCGAAATCAATCGAAATCCTTTGAAATCACTCGAAATCATCTGAGATCAAACCACTAATTTGAAATCACGAAATCAGTTACTTCCTCCTTGAGTTTAATATTCTCGTTTGAAGAAGGATTAGTTCTCATGGTTGAGTTATGTATTATAAAAGTCACCTATTTTCTTGAAATAGATTTTTTTCGATCGAAAAAATAGAAATGAATTCAAGATTACATTATTGTTACTATTGTGTCCCTAGACTATACTAAGAAATTTCAATTCATGTCGTGACATCAATACAATATAATAATTAGATTTTTACAAATATCAAACTCAACTCAATTCAATTTTTAGTAATAATCATGTCTACTGTAAGTATGACAGACCTATTAGGATAATCAGAAAATAGAAAGTGTCATAGGTTTATATAGATTTTTAAATCTCTTTGTCATTCTCATTACTTCATATAATTTTGTTAGATGACGTCATCATATCTATATGGTTTATCTATATCTTTTTCGTTCTACTTTCATACGTGAATGTTGTATATGCGTTCTTTTTTTCTAGTATGTTCAAGTACATTCGCTTTCTTTCTCTTTCTTTTTTTATGTATAGTTTATAATCTCTTTGATATTCTCAAGTAAGTTTTTAATTTTTTATTATCTTCTAGTAAATTCCTTGCATTCTCATACTCTTCTATATGATAATTTACATTCGATTTTTTTCCATATACTTAAAAAAAAAATAAGGTGTTTCATTAATTGTAAATATGTAACAAGAAATAAACTTTTACTAAAGTATATCTAAATAAAACTTAGGTACTTGTAACGATATTTCAAATAAGCTCTTTTACAATTAAAGAATCTTAAATATAAAAATGAAATTATCAAATGTTCGAAATTGATCGGCATGATTATTTTTAGGTCGTTTTTTTTCCCATAAAAACATGAATAATTACATTCGATTATATAAAACAAAATGAAATGTCATTGCTATAATCATTTATTTGAGACTATTGATTAGTCACATGATATACCGACAGAATGCTTTCAAACGAATTAAAAATCTCAATCAGTCCACGTTCCTGAACAGCAGATTGTTATTTTCTAGCTAGTATTCTTATCTACTCAAGAAAAACGTAATTTGCCATTATTGTAAAAAATAGTTATTGATAGTTAAATGAAATTTTGTTGTTGTGCAAGAAATTTAATATGTGTATCTATCAAGTATTGAATTTGTCTCATCATTAGTAAAACAAAACAATCTACTTGGTCGATTTTGAAAAAAAAAGTAACTTGATCATTATTACACAATGGCTATCACAATTATTCGACTACGTTTATTTTCAAGTTTTTCTTACTGTGTTAAACGTTGATAAGGATTCAAATAGTGATTTCGGTAGAGAATTTTATTTCTAACAAAAATTTTCGAGAATGAAAATAATTATTCAGTTGTCATTTATAAAGACTGAAACAGTGAAATTCATGTTTTTTTTTGTTTGAATGATTTTCGACGACAGTTTTTGACTGATAGATATCAACCTTACGGAACACACATAAAATCATGTTTTTATACGAAGTAGCAAAAAAAAAAGAAATAACTTTTGTATCTTAAATATGACTGATGTACTTCGATTAAAAAACGTTGTAGAGAGCTGAAAAATGTTTAACTTAAGTTTCGGTTATTCAGATATTCTATCCTTGAAAAACTAAGAATCATTTTCATTTTTGAAAGTTCTTTTTTGAAATAAAATTCTCTATATAAATTACCATTTTGTACTCTTATTAACGTTTATGAAAATGGAAAATAAATCTGATCGAATAATTTTTTAACTTTCTATATGTATGTTATTAGTATTATTATAAGAGAAGTTGTCATTATAAATGTTGACATGAGTACTCAGACATTTATATAGATTACAGTAGCGAAAAAAGAAGGCTTCCCACATTTCTTCGAGAAGCTATGTTCGATCGAGTTGAAAATTATTTTACAGGTACTAGACACTTTCAGATAGGTATTTGTTTGTATTTGTAAGAGCTACCAAAAATCAGCAGAACAATATTTTTTGAAACACAATAAGAATATCTTTCCTAATTAGAGAGAATTTTCATCTAGATCGGAGACATGATGACATTTCTGCATTTTGTTTTTATGAAAAAATTTCGAAACAATGCACAATTTTCACCATTTCGATTATTTGATTTTGGTTTGTTAACTTTTACGAACAATTTTTGGATGTTAGAATGTACTTAGCACATAGATACTACTTCAGACAACACATTGGCTCCAAAAACAACAAAACACGAAAGAGAATTACCCTTCAATGAAGGATGCTAATATAAAAAAAAACAGTTCTTTAATAAACTTCTCTTTGAAATAAAAGATCTTGGATCTTCTATTATTTTCAAGAGTAATAATCTTTTAAGAGCTGTTTTTTCATTGCATCTCATTCCATTTTATAATATTAAATTCAAAAATATTTTTTTTTTAAATCAAAGATATTTTTAGAGTTTTATAAGCTTTGACATGATGTTGATGTTAATCTTTTAAAGTTTCTCAGCTGAAAATTAGCCATACATTAATATCCATATACTGATTAAAGTTGTAATTTTTACAGAAATTAATTTTTTAAGACTGGTCAAGACCATACAAATACACTGTTTGACGTTCTAATCAGAAAAGTTATTTACACAATCTCTGTAGGATTAAAATTTGAAACTTCACTTAATCCTCTAGAAATACAATAACGAATTACTTCATATATTATAATAAGACGTTATTGATACACAATCTTTCATCGTATATTAACAACGTCGATCAGAAGTGATTATGTACCAGAGGGGAAAGTACTACTATGATGTTTGTGACATGTACAAAAGCATTGATAAGATGTCAATTTTGTCTGTGATGAGCTCTTTCTAACATGTCTGTCACGTCTATCGACCTTATCTGTCACTTTCTATAATATTTTCAAGGTAATATCTGTCATTGTCTGTGCGGGGGTCGGAAGGTGTGAATGTTTGTTGTATATATTTCAACACTCATTTTAGATCATGTTTTACCAAAGCATATGAAAATGTCATATGCAAATTTGTTATTGTAAGAAATATACATGGTAGAACAAACGTTTCATAATGGATAAAGAAAAATTATTTTGGTATAATGTCACAGATGGTTTTTTTACTTTTCTCTCTCTCTCTCTCTGTTCTTACTTTGCTTCAGTACGTTGATAATTGTTATTTGATGTTGTATTAGAAGGTGATAAAGTATAAACTTTGTTATTTATTGATGTTGGAGTATAATCTGTATAAGTACGATTTTCAAAAAATTGTCGTTTTGATTGAAAATCATCTAATATTTCATGACGAGTAGGTGAAAGTAATGCTTGTACACGTACTTGATTAGCTGATTTTGGTCTTAAGAGATTTTTATTAATTGAATTTGAATTTTCATATTTATTATCTAGAGTATCTTTTGATCTTGATCGAGATAATAAATTATTATTATTATTATTATTATTATTATTATTGTTGTTGTTAATATTCATTGTTCCCAATCGATTTGTTGTTTTTATTGAACGAGCTTTTTCACGTAAACGTTCACTATATGATGCTTGAGTATCTTCAAGAGAAGTATCACTTGCTAAATAGAAAAAAAAAACAATACAATAGTGATTTTCATAAATTGAAACAACAAAGGAAAATTCGTCCAGTCTGAGGACCGTATATTTATATGTATGTATCTGACATAGAGACATACACATATGTAAAATAAAATAAAAAAAAAGAACGATTTTTTTATACTGGTAAAAGAACATATTTATTAAGGCGATAAAATGAATGAGATAAACGTATTTCTCTCGTTCGTGTCGTTTTCTTTTATAGCTATAACTTAGTTTGTAACAAAAAGAAAAAACGACGAAGAATGATTTGGATTTACTTAATAATAAGATAGAAAAATGATATAATCAAATAGAATGAAACAAAAAAAAAAAACAAAGTATCTAGAATCTTATATAAGTCAATGGAGAAATATTCTTTTTTTTCCCTTGAAAGAAGTAAAGTATTGATAGAAAAGAATGGTTCGACTTTCTTTTTTTTTTTCTTCTACGTAATTTTTATGATTCATTTTTTTGTTTTTAATT